AGGACGGGCCGACGCCGACCGGGCCGGGGCCGGGGCCGGACCCGAGCAGCGTCATGGGGGCCGGGGCCGGGCCGGACCCAAGCAGGGCCGCGCCGCGGGGGCCGGGCTGGAGCCGCGGGGACCGGGCCAGAGCCGCTGGGGCCTGCATGCTCGGTGGGAACGGGCGGCGCCTCCCCGGAGCCCTTCTCGTGCCCCCACCACCCCAGCTTACCTTGTGCTGCCGGCCCGCCCCTGCTTCTTTTCAGACTTCCTGCAAATCTCTGATTCGCGGGAAGCAGGGGAGGGGGCTGAGCGTTCAGGGGAGGGGAGGAGGGGGAAGTGAGCTGGGGGCGGGGTGGAGAGCTGCAGCGCGGGGCCCTCTTGGCGCGGGGCCCAATTCAGCCGAATCGGCTGAATCGGCCTAAAGCCGGCCCTGCAAACACCCTTGCCCCGCCATTCCTCCAAGGCCCTGCCCTGCCCCTTCTCTGAGGCCCCGCCCCTGCTCACTCCACCCCCCTCCCCACCTTCACTGACTCGCTTTTCACCAGGCTGGTTCAAAGGGTTGGGGTGTGGGAGTGGGTGAGGGCTCCAGCTGGGATACGGGCTCCGGGGTGGGGCCAGAAATTAGGAGTTCAAGATGCAGGAGGGGGGAGAGGGGTCCAGGCTGAGGCAGTGGGTTGGGATGTGGGAAGGGGTGATGGCTCTGGCGGGGGGGTACAGGCTCTGGGGTGGGGCCAGGGATGAGGGGTTTTGGGTGCAGGAGGGGGCTCCACGTGGGAGATGAGGACTTTGGAATGTGCGAGGGGGCTTCGGGTTGGGTTGTGTGGGGTGAGAGGGCTCTGGCTGTGGGTGCAGACCCTGGATTGGGGCTCGGGATGAGGGGTTTGAGGTGTAGAAGGGTGCTCTGGGCTGGGACCAAGGGGTTCAGAGGGTGGGAGGGGGATCAGGGCTGAGGCAGGGGGTTGGGGCACAGGAAGGGGTCGGGGTGCAGGCTCCGGCCAGTGCTTACCTCAAGCAGCTCCCAGAAGCAGCGGCATTTCCCCACTCCAGCTCCTATGCGGAGGGGCAGCCAGGCGGCTCTGCGCGCTGACCCGTCCACAGGCGCCACTCCTGCAGCTCCCATTGCCTGCGGTTCCCAGCCAATGAGAACTGCGGAA